GGCTTCGTTTTTAGTAACTTCTTTAACATTTACACCGTGACTTGACTTTTAGATCACGTGAGTAAGAATAACATTACATCAAGCTGCATCAAAACAATCATACAGACAAAAGCAGGGTAACAGTTTTGACCAGCTACGTTAAATGTTTAGAGTAGGCAGGCAGACGCCAGAGAAGACACAAATAGTATAGCACAGAATTCGGTGTGGGAAAAAAGACAGAAATGAGCGCTAAAATGTTGCTTATAAAAACTTTTTTTTTTGCAAGATTGTGTAAATAAACAAAGCGCTGTGAATTGCTCACCTCGTCGTCGACTGAGAAAGAGAAATAAAACACTAAATAAATTAAAGAAAAAAGGAAAAAAAGGAAAAGGGAGCTAGGGTTTACGTTTCAAGTCATATTATTCTATTGTCCCTATTCACTTAAATAGGGTATTTTTTATACTACTTTTTATATTACTTCAATGCAAGTGAGCAAGTGCACCGTTGTTTGCTTAGTGACGTGTGTGTTCAAGTAAGCTAGAAATGCGCAGATTCTGCGCAATACGCTGTATTTAATATATCATGAGGACTCACGAGTAGCATATTTGCGCTAAATCCGCGTGTATTTTTTTTATGTCTCAAAAATCGAACAGGATTTTTTCACAAAAGTGACAGCCCTAAAGTGGAACCTCTTCGTCAGCTGGTGCTCTTCTCGCCGAGAAGACCCCCGGAGATGCTCGATCAGTGTTGTGCTTTCCTTCCATCAAGATGTGTTGGAGCGAAGGCTGTCTCCCTCCACCCTCAAAGTCTATGTTGCCGCTATCGCCGCACACCATGATTTGGTAGAAGGTAAGTCTTTGGGGAAGCACGACCTGGTCATCAGGTTCCTGAGAGGGGCGAGGAGACTGAATCCTCCTCGCCCTCCTCTCGTTCCCTCTTGGGACATCGCGGTGGTTCTAACTGCCCTGCAGAGTGCTCCCTTTGAGCCTTTGCAATCAGTGGAGCTTAAGATCCTGTCGATGAAGACAGCGCTCCTGGTTGCACTGGCCTCCATCAAGAGGGTAGGGGACCTGCACGCATTTTCCGTTGACGAAGCATGCCTGGAATTCGGGTCGGCTTACTCTCACGTGATCATGAGACCCCGGCCTGGATACGTGCCCAAGGTTCCTACCACTCCCTTCCGGGACCAGGTGGTGAACCTGCAAGCGCTGCCCCGGGAGGAGGCAGACCCAGCCTTGGCACTGCTCTGTCCAGTACGTGCTCTCCGCACCTATGTAGAGAGGACGCAGTGTTTCAGAACCTCAGACCAGCTCTTTGTCTGTTATGGTGGGAAGCTGAAGGGAAAGGCTCTCTCCAAGCAGAGGTTGTCTCACTGGATAGTGGACACCATTGCTTTGGCATACCAGCAGCAAGGTCAACCGTGCCCCCTTAGTGTGACTGCCCACTCCACCCGGAGTGTGGCATCCTCTTGGGCTCTAGCGCATGGCGCCTCGCTAACAGACATCTGCAGAGCTGCAGGCTGGGCGACACCTAACACATTCCCCAGATTCTATAATCTCCGAGTGGAGCCAGTCTCCTCCCATGTACTGTCTTTTTCAAGCTAACATGGGACCCGTTAGGTGTCTTCGCTTACTCGCCATTCCACTCCATGGACTGGATACGTGCGATATTTTCCTCAGGTGAGCTTCCCCGAAAGCCCTGAGTTCCTCCTGCACTCCTGACGTCGGCGCCAGTGTCTCTTGCCTGAGCGTCGGCTAGGTGCCTCCCGTGTGCATGGTCCCTCTCCGGAGCAACCCCCACATGTGTATTCCCACTGTAAGCCTCTTTGAGCATGTGTCTTTCCCTTGGCAAGCCACCTTGCCACCCCTGGGGTTGAAATATTCCACCTGCGGCTGGACACCCCAGTGTTCTCCATATGCTTCTTTCGGGTCATATGAGTATTCTCTAAGTCCCCCCCGTTGGGCTGGCAATATTTTGCATATTTCCTCTAAACTATGGGATATGCTCCCCAGTGTACCTTGGTATTCCTGTGTTAAATAGGAGTCCTTCGTCCGTGCTAGTCTCACGACAGGGATCTCAGATTTACGCAGGGCACTGGAAGACAGCTGTGAAGGTGGCGTTATTAGACTGGTACCCCATTCGTCGTCCTCCGACGGAACTCGGAGTGACAACGAAAGGGAACGTCTCGGTTACGGATGTAACCCTCGTTCCGTCTGTCTGCCACTTCCGCTGTACCGCGGGGATCGCCTGAGCTCAGTCTTGGCTCCTCAGCGAAGAAACATGTCTGTATGTTGCGTGACTTCCTCCTTTTATACCCACGAGGTGAGGTGGAGTTACGTCATGGAAATTCCACAGACCCATGGCATTTCTTTGCCATTGGCTCTTTTTGTAATACTCGAAGTCGATAGGTGTTCTAACCGAAACCCCATTCGTCGTCCTCCGACAGAACGTCTCCGTTCCCTACTCAGGGAACGAGGGTTACATCCGTAACCGAGACGTTTGTTTTTAACCGAAAAAAAAAAACATTATCCTCAATCTCCGACGTCCACCGGACTTTCTGGTGCGCCATACCGCAGGCTGTTTTGATTTTGTTTTGCCGCCTTGTCATCTCGCTTTCTGATTGGCGACACGCCACAGTCCACAGGCTGCGTGCTCGTTTGTCCCCAGGGGACACCACACACGAGGAGAAATCGGGCCAAATAAATCCAACATGTTGGATATCCCTGATTTGAGATCGGAGCGGTCCCGACGTCCTTCCAAGCAGACGAGAGCAGTCTTAACACACCACACACAGCAGGAATATCTGATCAGATTATTTGACGATAATCGGAGCATCCTTAAGATTGTCGGAAGGGGTGAATCGGAGATAAAATCGGCCTAATTATCCTGCCGTGTGAACCAGCCTTAAGTTTAGGGCCGCTGCAAATTTTGAAAAAAAATTGCCTTTCTTCAAACAGCATCCTTTCAACCCCTACAGTTCAAAGAAGAAAATGAGAGAATCAGATTTTAACATGAACAATTAAACAGATAGAACTATAAATTAAACACAAAATTAAAAAGAATAAAGATTTGTCTATTACAAACCAGCCTCTTCATAGACAATTGGAAAAGTTTTTGGGGCACACCTGACCTGTTGAAAAGAGATGGTATTCATCCCTTCCGGGATGGTGCTGCTCTTTAATATGGCACATAGTCTTAGACCTCAAACATGACAATCTGGGGCTCAGGTCAGGAAGCAGACAGACTGACTAAACCGACCGTCTGCTAGCTGTCTCCCGTCACTGAGGTCAGATAAATCCCATCACACAGACTCTTTCACCTAGATATCATCACATAGGCTGCGCTTACCGCAACCTGTATCCGGATGTTGTCCATATACACATTGAAAAGACGAGTGTAAACGCGCATGTCCAGGTTCGGAGGCGAGGACACATTGTGATCGGATCTCAGTGTAATGTAAACGCAATCCAGCCACCAGGACATCATATAAATCCCCGCCCAGTCTCCCCGCATGGCTGTCAGAAAATAATGGAAATTACACTTATTTGAAACTTACAATAAACGTCAATCTTTAAAAGAGTTTATTTAGTCATGATATCTTAATGAAGAGCTGATAATCGGAATACACTTTTTATTTTTTAAATGTTGAATGTTTTTAATTGTTTCAGCATGTTTATTAATCTCCCATTTCTGTCAAAATTGCATGCTGTAACCTTAAACCCAGATGATCGATTATTATGATCAACCCAGTTATTTTTGTATGATCAAATCTGCCTTAGTTCAAAAAACGTAATTTGATCTAAGACTGGAGATTGCATAGAAAAGTAAAGTGAGTGAGTGAAAGCAATTGCGACATTATTTAATTTGTATCATCTTTAGCCTATACTCTCAATCTGGTGTCGTGATACAGACCTAATTTAAATATTATGGGGAAAGAGAAATCTGATCGGTTATCCAGATCACATGTTAATGGCAAGTGTAAACGTAGTCATAGAGACTCTGTGTCTGTTTCCAAAATTAGGAAATACAAAAACACTCAAACCACTTTAAAAGGTAAAAATTTAATTGAAGATCAACAAATAAAAAACAGATATACCGGTAATACAGATGAACAAATGATAAAGCTGGGGTTACTAAATATTCTATCCCTTTCTTCAAAAACACATATTGTAAAGGATATGATTACAGATCATAACCCAGATGTACTGTGTTTGACAGAAACCTGGCTAAAACCAGCCGGATCCAGTTCAGATGAAGGACCTGCACCTAGACACGACCACAGCGCAGCCCTGAAGTCAACCATGTCAACCAGACTATCCCCTGCGAAAGCCTCATTTTGAGATTTTCACGACAAACGTTTTTCCTCTGGTTATACCAGCGTGGATCTGCGGATGCAACTGGGAAAGCTGTGTTGTGCATGCTGGACCGATGATTGGTGGTGTCACTTTGTAAAGAAAGACTATGCGCTTGCACACATATGCATACAAAAGCGCATGCATATGGACTGAACACATAGTGCCGTCGCCGTTTTAACAGATTCACATTTTTTTATTTTACACGGAGATGATAATGGTTTCGCTTTCAAAAATAATTATCAAAAACTTGCACTTTGAAACCAACATTAAAGTTGGCGTCCTCAGGCCACCAAAACGCTATTGTCATGTGTTCTGGCCATATATTTACATTACACGGTTTTTTTTCGTTGAAAACAGTGTCATGTAAGCAGCCCCTGAGTTAATGACTAATGCTTTTTACAATGGAAATTAATTGAAAAACAAACATACTTAAACTAGACAATGACTTTCTTCTAGAGTTGCTGTACAGCCAAAACAATATTTGTTGCATTTATTTTCCTGTTATCACTCTAAAGCTCCTTTGAAAAAATCTGAAGAGGAACAACTTTGACGGAGTAAAAAAATAAATTAGTGAAATTCTTCCCTCATGGAGGGCAGTGATACGGATTCTCTCCAGTGTGGATCCTCTCATGTGCCTTCAGGGTTCCTGACTGAATGAAAGTTTTGTCACAGTGTGAACACTTCTCCAGTGTGGATCCTCTCATGTCTTTTCAGATTTGTGAACCTTCTGAATCTCTTGTCGCAGTGTGAACACTTGTAAAGTTTCACTCCAGTGTGAATCATCTGGTGTAACTTCAGGCTTCCTGACTGAATGAAACTCTTGTCACAGTGTGAACACTTGTAAGGTTTCTCTCCAGTGTGAATCATCTGGTGTGCCTTCATGATTCCTGACTGACTGAAACTCTTGTCACAGTGTGAACACTTGTAAGGTTTCTCTCCAGTGTGGATCCTCTCGTGTATCTTTAGGTTTCCTGACTGAATGAAAGTTTTGTCACAGTGTGAACACTTGAAAGGTTTCTCTCCAGTGTGGATCCTCTCATGTCTTTTCAGATTTGCGAACATTCTGAATCTCTTGTCGCAGTGTGAACACTTGTAAAGTTTCACTCCAGTGTGAATCATCTGGTGTACCTTCAGGCTTCCTGAGTGAATGAAAGTTTTGTCACAGTGTGAACACTTGTAAGGTTTCTCTCCAGTGTGGATCCTCTCATGTCTTTTCAGATTTGTGAACCTTCTGAATCTCTTGTCGCAGTGTGAACACTTGTAAAGTTTCACTCCAGTGTGAATCATCTGGTGTACCTTCAGGCTTCCTGAGTGAATGAAACTCTTGTCACAGTGTGAACACTTGTAAGGTTTCTCTCCAGTGTGGATCCTCTGATGCATTTTCACTTCAGCATCTGTAAGAAAGGTCTTCCCACAATCAAAGCACACATGATTCTTCACACCACTGTGTCTTTTCTGGTGTCGTTTTAAAGTACCCAGCTCACTAAAACTCTTTCCACACAAAGAGCACACGTGAGGCTTTTCCTTTGAATGAACGTTCAGGTGGCGCTTCAGGGATGATGCTGAAAAAAATGATTTACCACATTGATCACAGCTATATAGTCTCTCTCCAGAATGAGTAAGCATATGCGAATTAAAATTGCTTACATGTGCAAATCTCTTCCCGCACTGATCACATTTGTACGGCTTCTCTCCTGTGTGGATACTCATGTGTACATTAAGGCTTCTTTTTTTTGTGAAACCCTTCCCACACTGATCACATGTGTGCAGATTCATCCCAGTGTGGATTCTCATGTGTACATTAAGGCCTCTTCTTTTTGTGAAACTCTTCCCACATTGATCACATGTGCGCAGCTTCTTTCCAGTGTGGAACTTCATGTGATTTTTAAGGGCTATTTGTTGTGCAAAACTCTTCCCACACTGATCACATGTGTGTGGCTTTTCTCCAGTGTGGATTATCATGCTTATCTTCAAGATTCCATTTTCTGTTAAACTCTTCCCAGACTGAGGGCAGGTGAAAGATTTTCTCAAATTACTATCAGTCTGTGAGGGACTGGAAGATTTTTCACCAGTATTGAGATGATGTTTCTCCTTTGCTTCTCTAAGTTCTTCACTCTCCTTGTTGTCTTCCATCAGGTCTAAAATGAAAGAAAGGTTTAATTTTCAGTAAATCATAAAAATTGAGCAATAAGAAGGGAAAGAGCATAAAATTAACCCTGATATTTTATCAGAAAGAAATCAATAATTGCCTTTACAAAAAAAATCATATATTTAAGTTTTTTCTTAATATAAAATCTATCCATTCCCAAATCACTTGTCCTTTGTAGGGTCCCAGTGATCCTGGAGTCTATCAGCATCTCAAGCCATAGGCAGGGAAACACCCTGGATTGATTCACAGAATACAGTGTTCACAGATAAGTTAACTTGCTTTGATTTAATACTAAAATGGTGCTGTCAGCATGTGACATAACATGCTATTATAGGTGATCACCAATTCAGTTATGCATGTACTGTTTTGTTTGTTACTTTCCTAATGTATAATTATTCCATTGAATAGGGGTATGTTATTTACCAGTTGAGATAACCCAGGGGAGAGTTGGCAACCACTATAAATTTAAAATATAAATAATCATTAGGGTTATGCTCACATAACTAGGGGTGCACATAACTTTTTTGGTCTGGTTCTCAAGGGATAACATGGAGATGTCGCTTGATCCTCACACTTTATGCACCACACTTACAAGCTGCCTATATGTAAAATAACACTATTTATTCACTGTAGAAATGAAATATAGGTTCATCTTTATTAAAGCTGTATTTTTCTATTTTATTAACATTAATGACACAGACAACAGTAGGAATATTTGCATCACACACGATCTTGAAATGGAATGCATATTGGAATAATCCATTTTATGACAGCCACCATTTAAATGTTAATATTAAAAAAAATAGTAGAAACAATTATGTAATTAAAAATGTATTACAACTTTATTATAAAAGCTTCCTTGTGCAATTTATATATGACGAATCAGTTTTAACCTTTAATATTATAATGATGTACCAACTGTGGTTGCCTGTATAGTTTACTGCATTAGATGAGAGATATTTTTGTCTTTGAAATTTGACATGCACTGTCCCTGAATTTGCTCAGCGAGTTGCTCTGGCATCGAGTAATGATGCTCATTAACTATGCCCTTGTTGCCGAAATGCACGAAACACATTGGTGTATCTGATATAGGCGGGCCAGAGGCAAGCTAAACCAATGACGACAGCGCTGCTACGTCAAAGTCATTAGTAAACATTTAAAGATGGCTGTGGATGAACACCAGTTGTTCGAAACGGCTTTGGCCGCTACAATGAACGAGTTAGACTTGGCTTTTATCTAAAGGAGGAACAGAAGACGGCGCTTGAATCGTTCCTTTGGAAGAAGGACGTTTTTGCAGTTTTGCCGACCGGATACAGCAAGAGTCTAATCTACCAGTTAGCTCTGCTGGTTGTTAAGCGTATGGGGATTAGTTGTGATTGGTTGTAGTGTTATCCAATTGCGTGCAGTGAGATTTTCAAACGCATGCTTGGTGCCGCCCCTCAATTTGGGCGATTTACAGTGCTATGCATAAGTATAGACACCCATGCTAAAGTTGGCTAAAAAGAGGAAATGCCTTAATGCCTTAATTTAAAAAATGAGGAAAAATCCAACCTTTAAGGACACCACTTTTCTTTGTGAATGAATAATGTATTGTAAACAAATAAATGTTCTTCCTTAAAATACAGGGTGCATAAGTCAGGACACCCCTATGTTAAATTCCCATAGAGGCAGGCAGATTTTTATGTTTAAAAGCCAGTTATTTCATGGATCCAGGATACTATGCGTCCTGATAAAGTTCCCTTGGCCTTTGGAATTAAAATAGCCCCACATCATCACATACCCTTCACCATACCTAGAGATTGGCATGGGCTACTTTTCAAAAGCATCTCTCAATGCAAATCAAACCAGCTATTAGGCTAACTGAAATAAAACCATGCCAATCTCTAGGTATGGTGAAGGGTGTGTGATGATGGGGGGCTATTTTTATTACAAAGGCCTAGGGTACTTTATCAGGAGGATGTATATAATCCATAGGCAACTTTTGCCAGTGCTTTGCGGCAAGCTTTATTCGACGCTTGAGCGTGAGTTAAAGCGGATTTCATTATTTACTTGTATCTGAAAAAGTATCGTTCAGGAACTGGTATCGAAGTCAATAGCCGCGTTTCCACTGCCGGGCCAGGGCCGGGCCGTGCTAGTGCGTGCCAGGGCCAGTCGCGTTTCCACTGTCACTTCCGGGGCTTGATCGGGGCTTACTCGGGGCCAACGGCCAGGATTTCTGGCCCGTCGAATACCTTGGGCCAAAGCGGGCCAGCTCGGGCTAGAGGAGTGGTTACGAACAGAGGCGGGGATTACCTGAGTCGAGAGACAGGAGCGCCGAAGGGCAGCATTAAAGACTTTTAAAATAATTTAACTCACTTTCCTGTTTTAATGCCTTCTGTTTGTGATCCGATGTGGATTCTGATCACCGTATAAGGTAGAAATATTTATACGCGATGCAAAAGACTATGCGCGCTAATCATTACCATAGTAAACATAGTAAACGCTTGAAGATACACATAGTAAAAAAACATGGTGAACGCTTGAAGAAGTCAGGCCATTCATAAAGGCTATCACAATCATGTTTTTATTTTATCTGTCAGTAGCCTACATACATATTATAGTCTCTTTATACCGGACTATCTACTTTTTTTCGGGAGCTTCCTGTTTCTCTGACTGAAAATATATCTGTAGCTACTGGGAGTCGAGACTGTGCTAACGCTCCTCAGGTCGTATTTTTGGTGGCATATAACATTATTTGTAGAAATTATCATTCTTTCTAAATGTGATATATGTCCTGTAACTACCAAATAAACAGAAACAGCCTCGACTGAATAATGTAAGTGTGTCCTCTTTCTTTTTTGAAATAGACCTAACGGTCATTTATTTCTGTGTGACTAATGTGCAATTTTGACATAAATTAATTCATTATGATCAATGTATCACTTTTTATTGTAAACCTGTGGTAAAACATCGATGCTTGGGTTTTAAATATTCAAGTAAACAACAAAAATGCCAGCAAACGGCCGCTTTTATCATGTTTGTTTTGCGATGCACGCTGTTTCCAGTGATTTCTTTCTGATTAGTTTTCTGGTAAAACTTCCATTTGTTGGTGAAATGATGGGTTGGTGTGACGTTGTTCCAGAGAGGCGTGTTACGGGCGTGTTTTAGTGATGCGCTGTGGAGCTTCTGGCCCGACAGTGGAAACGCAGGCCAGGTGCTACTGGCCCGAGGCTATTAGCCCGGCACGGCCCGTTTAAAGCCCTAGCCTAGCACTGGCCCGACAGTGGAAACGCGGCTAATGTATCAGTATCGATAATCGAAAATTATTCCCCTTAGTTTTTTCATTAAAACTAAAATACTAGAAAAATATATGACGCAATATATTTTGATATTATTATTCATGGTTTCGGTCACGTGACTTTTTTTTTTGTTGTGGCCTCCATCTTTAGGACTTTTGCGTAAAATTGCGTGGCCTCTCCTTGGTGATCGGAAAGATGTCGCACACTAAAATAGCACACCTCACTACAGACGAAAAGCATCGGCATTTAAATAAAATAGATACTTTAGGTATAGATCCGTATTTACTGTCAAACAAACTGCTGACTCCACTAAAGTCTAGTAAAAACTTGCCAAATTTGACATTTGCTCACATTTACATCTACCTCGTCCACAATCCCTCTCCATACACCAGAGAAGCTCAAGGCATTTAAAAGCACTCAAGCTTACCGCTACTTCACCTCAGGATGGGTTAATGATCCCCAAATCTATCATCTGGAGATGAAGAAAATGGGTAAGTGGCACTCTGTTAATCAAGCGATATTAACGTTACACGAGTAATCGCTGCATCGCTGAACTGAATTGCTAATAATGTCGGTAAAGCACATCTCTTGTATTATCAGTGACGTTTGGACACCTTTATTTTCAATTCTCATGTATTTGTATAGCGCTTTTCACATTATCGTTTCAAAGCAACTTTACAGAAAATGCATGCGTCTACATTGCAATTCTTTAGGGTGTCCAAGTTATGCATTTCAGAAATGTATACAAATCACGCAGTTAGCTAATAATCTATTACAGCACAGCAGATAGACGGCATGTTGCAATTCGGTCCTTCAAATGGCGGCAGCACCACTGTGTGACGTCACATGAAATCTAAGAATTGCGCTGCCGCTCCCATAAGAAGCTACTCCAAATGAGATTTGCGTCTGAAAATACGCTTAAGTGCGTATTTTCCGCGAAGTTCCGCGAGGTCTGTAACGGGAGAGAGAGAAAGGAGACGAGCGGTGCGTCATTAGGTCAAGTGCAAATGATGAACACCTGTGTCTTGTTTTAATAATTGGCGTGGAGAGACCGGAAATAAACCGCTCTGGAGCGAGAGAAAGAAGGTCTGGGGACTCATGCGTCAATGTGGAAAGAGTGCTGATATAGCGGAAAGAGTGCTGATTGTGAAATTGTTTTGTGCTATAGCGTGGCTATGGTGAATGCGCAGTGGGCGTGCCTTTTGTTTTTGTGATTGTTTTATTTTATTTCAATAAACCATACGAGTCCCGTAACGCCGACCCTGTCTTCTTCCTTCCTAAACCTGAACCTCATCACATGCATATCTATAGCACGAATTGTCTTTCTCGTGCTATTTATACGCCAAAAATAGTTTTACTACTATTTATCATTTACTGATACTGAATAACTGTTTATCTTAGAAACGAACAGTCACTATTATTATAATATAGGTCTGTAAATAAATAATCTT